TTGGTCTAAAATATATCAAAATGGCAATTTTTGCAAGAATTTTTGAAATTTGCCATTATTGCAAGTGGCTAGAAGAAATTAGACATTTCTTACAATTTCCACTTTTTTATTACCGGGCTAATCAGCCAGTTGTCTTGGTTAGACAATCAAACCTTGCACAACCTGATCATTATGATTGGCCAATTCATGTATCGCCCAAATCGAGACGACCTGATTCGAATCCAATTGTTTCACTGATGAATCATATCTTACTTAAAACGGTCCGGTACATGTTGACACTACTCCATAAAATGATTATGCACGACCAGACCAGTTTTCAATGATCCAGAAGATTGATAAAACTTTGGGTTCTATCTTAAAATGTTGTTCACGAAAATATATTTCGAATTAAAATTGTCGCAAGTATACGGTTCGTTAACAAGTAATAAAGTGGATCTTGAGTCCGAATATTGTCCCACAAAAATTGATTTAGTTCAATTTTAGTTATCACGTCCTTAACCGAAACAAGAATAATATAATGTGCTATGACTAAATTATATCTAAATTAACATACTTATGCAATTAAGAATGAATTAACTAAATTAGATGCAAATTATGTTAAAACGCAGTTTAATGTATTTTAATGAATGACAAACATATTAGAACCCCGAATTCCCGTGCAATAATCATTTTTAATCCTAGTTTACGCGTTGACAACATGATTAAATTTGACGAATCAATGTTCCTATTTTATTTAACAATTTTTCTTGAGTAATGTTAAAACATACTTTTATATATGACTCAACTATATTTTTATGATGAATGCGAACATATAAAAGTACGTGAATTTTTATGAATACTTAAAGATTCACATAAGGCATAACGGTATATTCATATCCCTTATCGGGCTCTATGACAATTTATATATGTCAAACATATTTCCTTTCTTTCGAATGCATAAAACGGATCACCACATTCACACAACTATCGTGCACAATAATTATGGAGAAAATAAAATCATATAAATCATTCTATATTCAAAAATATGTTTTTGATGACAAACATATAAAACTAAAAATTAAAAATTAGATGGTTAATTGTTCTCCTAGTACAAAGCAGCATGTTGTGAAGAAAAAACAAAAAGAATATAGAAGAATCGACATCACCCAATATAATTCTTGAATTTATTCTCGTGTTGTTGGATTCGATCTTCATGTTCTTGGCTTCTTCTCTACTCCAAAAGTCTCTTAGAATATGTTGTCATTAGTTTGGACGGCTCTAGGGTTTTAAAACACGCGCCCAAGATTTGTTTCCATACAAGGAAACCAAAATTTTTCCTTCGAAAATGTGCTATGCGACTGCATAGTACAATTCAATACGACCGCATAGAACAATAAAATTCTCCCTGAAATTCACTGAAGTGCTACATGTGACCGCATGTAAGAAGAACTACGCGACCGCATAGTTCAAGAAAACTTTCATTTTTTGCATTTTGGTCCCCGAACTCCGTTTTCTCGTTCTTTGATCTCTTTTTCCACTTCTTCTTCTTCCAAGACTTTATTCCTTCACTCAATTGGTCTTCGATTCTTTCACATCCTTGTTTCTTCTTCCGAGCCATCTTTCAGTTGTTTGCAATCTGGTCCTTGAACTTTGGTTTTCTTCTATTTTAGTCCTTTTTTCTCTTCTTTTTCCTAAATTCCACCATGTTCATCAATGTTATCCTACAAAATACAATTTATATAGAATTAAGTCATATTTCAATATAGTTACAAACAATTATCCATGTTTTATGACATACATAAGTGTGTAAAACGCACTTATCAAATATCAACCTTGTTAAGTAAAGTAGCTTAAACCCTTTATGATAGATTTATGTTTTCATCTTATGTATGATTTTATCTCTTAACATGCAAGCGCAAGATGGTAGCTTGTTTAACCAAACCTATCTTGAAATTCGTTTTTACTTTTCTCGGTTTTAATTAGATTGAATTGTTCGTTGGAGTTTAATGGTATCGGATATCATATTAAGACTTGTGTTTCATCTTAAAATGTTAACATTGTTAAAGAGTAGTCCAAACCATTTATAAATTGATCTATATTTTCATCTTTTTGAGATGTGAGATTTTATTTCTTAACAAAGACAAAATATGTTTGAGTAGTAACTCAACTTGAATATATTTGTTTTTATTTCAAAAATATATAATTATGTTTACCTAGGTGTTTTTAATTTGTAAATAGAAAATATTACTTTTAAATACAGTGAAACTGACAAATGTTTGATCAAGATATTTTGTTTGTTTTATGTTTGAGTGGTGCTTGAT